CTGAGGCTCCTGTGCCCAGAGCAACCAGCCAAAGCTGCTTCTGCACCTCGGCCACGTGTGCCAAGGCCCAGGAGCCCACCTGAACCCGGGCTGCCCACCAGGCACAGCCAGGCGCTGGGCACCCAAAGAGCCTTTATAGGGACAGTGTCTGGTGGAACCCAAGGTGAGGGGGCACTGCCAGCATTTCTTTTAATAAGCCCAAGGCAGAATTTCACATGCTGGATGTCATCCCTCCCTGTTTAGGCTTTTAGGAAACTAGAAGCTCAGCTGGACCTCAGAGTCCCACCAAAGCATTGGTCCTGTTACACCCCGAGGTCTTCAGCACATGCAGAAAGGAAAGGTCTTTTCTTTCTCCAGTACACACCAGGAACCCCTTTATTCAAGTTTTTAACCATTTCTGTGCACAAGCAATAAAGTCAGTAGAAATCCGTGTGCGACTGCAGGTATGGCTGGGCACAAACAGCTCTCGTACAGGGGGAAATACTTCATAGACACGCAGATCCCAACCACACTGCGACAGAGTAACCACCACACGGCCGAAGGACTCTCAGACCCTCAACTAACAGTGGGATGCAAGTTTTCCTACGAAGGAGGAGGGAAGGGCTGTACCAACATCTCTCCTCTCCCTTTAATTCCAAGCGTTTCCCTAGCTTGGAAAGGGACTCTGCTCCCCCTCACCATACCGCCAGGAGAAAAGGAAGACCGTGACCAGGCTCTTTACACCCATGTTCATCGACCGTGCTTTGAATAGCTCCATAGTCTCATCCGGATCAGCTGCCCAGAACTACAACTTGAAGTAAAAAAGTCACCACTTTCCTCCACTTCTGCCTTAGTACTGTGAAATGAGATACTGTATCTTTTTGATTACTTTCCATGAAATACTCCCCTAATTAAAATCACTAACTGCATCAAATTTCTCTTTGGACTGTCAGAAGCCTTTAACCAATGTTCACGTATTGCCAGATTAATTTTTAATTTAAAAACGATATTACATTACCTATCTCAGCTATATGACACTTGCCTTTAAAAAATGGAATACTTCACAGTGTTTTGAAAGTACTTCTTCTTTGGGCAGAGACGGGGTGACAGGAGGTGGCAGTTATCTGTTAGGCAAAGTTATTAAATATAGTTAATATCATACAGCAGTTAATCACTGCAGTGGGACTCTTCATTCTGGTGACTCAAAGGTACCATAGGTGCTGCTCCGCAATCTATTCACTAACACTGTCACTTACTGCATCATTTAAAAGCAGAGACTAATTCAGGTCAGGACAGACCTCTGCATGTCATCTCGTCCAACCTGTTGCTAACAGTAGACCAAATCAGATCAGGTTTCCCTGAGATTAATCCAGCTGAGTCCTGAACAGCCGTGAGGACACAGAGCCCCAACCTCCCCAGGTAACCGTGAGGTTTGACCATCCTCATGTTCCTTTTTTTTTTTCCCCCCTTATACCCTAATATTAAAGCGTAGGAAAAAAAGAATCTAACTGAAATCTTGGGACAAGCAAGGAAAAGAAAGCAAAAGAAAAATACAAGCAGAATATAAGTTACCTTATGTTAATTGCACCCAAATACCGACATCAAATACTTCTCCACCAGCAAAAAGCAACACTCCATCCTTAGCAGCCATAAAAGCTCAAGCCCTCACTTACCTCTTCACCTGGAGGACTGCAGCTCCTTCATTGCCTTTTTTCCCTTCTGGGCAAAACACGCATTTTTCCCTTGGATGTCCCCCAGCACAGCACCCCAGGCCCCTCCGTCAGCTTTCGAGGTCTGCGAACACCATCTAACCGTATTGCCCAAAGCATTCTACTTCAGAGAAAACCAGTTCAGGAACTCAGTCTGCACTTTTCTACTGGTAGGCAAGAGGAGTGATTTCAGGAAGAGTTCCAAGAAATGCATTTGTAGAAGGCAATGTGTGTGTGTGTGTGAGTGCGCATGTGGAAAGCTGAAACAAGAACCAGTCCCCCTCCCCTTTATCCAGCGAGGACGTACCAAGCCGTAGCCCTGTGTGTAATACCCAATCGGTACTACAGCCACGTAACTTCCCCCAGCACCTCTCACCCCTCGATGCATTAATCTATCTCACCTTCACTTCGTTATGAGAGCTGACAAACTACACACCCACTGCCTCTTCCATTCCATGTAAAGCCAAACTATTTCCCCCCCCCCTCAGGCAGCAGCAGCCTATTCCAGAGGCAGAAGGATCACTTATCGTTCCTGCAGAAGGGCGGGAGTGATCCCTGCGAGGCAGCAGCAGCGCACAAGCCACGCTCCCCAGCAGTCCCTTGAATTAAGGTTTCGGCCATATGGCTGGAATGGTTTCCAGGCGTGTTTTAGGCAGCTGAGCCAGGAGGGGAGGGCAGGCCAGCCGCGCTCCAGCACTGTTCGCTCTCCTGCCACGGAGAGGCAGCCTCCACCCACACATCCCTCCCTTCGCCAAGGCAGCTCCCAACTAACTAACGGTTCTGCAGCTCCACAGACACACACCTAACCAAAATTACAGCTACAGGACAGTAAAGCCCATATACATACTCGGTACAAATTCTTCAATCCCTCAGCTGCCGGGGGGGTCCCTCCACCACGCCGCGGTGCAAGCCCTGCGCAGAAATGCGCCACTTCCAACAGCATTTTACCAGCACCGGCCTGAAATTCAGGTGCGACGCCCCGTTCACACCAGTGCACTGCTGGAGGCCGATGTTCGGGTTGCCATGTTGAACAGCCCGGTCCGGAGGGGCCTCCCCAGGTCGTGCTCCCCCGGCACCCCCCCAGCACCCCGCAGCCAGCCACAGGCTGCGCTCACGGCCACCGCCACAACCGGTCGGACACACGCTCCTCAAACCCCTGCTTTGAGAAGGGCTCGTTCCCACAACATCTGGGTTCGTCCAAAGAAACCCCACAGTGCCATCTTAACGTAGAGTGGGTTTACAAGGAATTCTGACAAAAGAGTAAGTACCGAGTATACCAGATGTTGCTAATTACCAAAGCTGGAGACCCTCAGACGAGCACGGTGAAAAGGTAAGGGAACGGTCACCCAACACGAACAGCAGCACAGGAGCTTCACTTCAAGAACAAATTCTGCACTGGCATAAAAAGTGTAGCACTGGAGTATATGGAATATAAAAATGTAAGTTGTGAGAGAAACAACTGTTACTCAGCAGTGGTATGTTGCACTTCTGTAATTCTATTAGCAGCACTCTATAAACCTCGAGTAGTTAAACTCCACTACAGTGAATTCTGAAGGAAAACTATTGCAGAAGGAATAGCATTTCGTATTTACTTTTGTTTTAATTAAAGCTTGTAACTCCTAATTTCACCACAGGGATGTTACTCCTTGATTTTTGTTTTGTTTTGGGTGGTGAGGGGGTTGTGTTTGGTGGGGTTTTTTTTAAATGAAGTAGGTTACGATTACTACTGACAAGTGCCTGGGTGCATTTCAGGTCACTTTGAGACTAATTATGGCTTGTTTTCATGAGAGGGAGATTTTTTTGTAGCAGTTAAAATTGGTTTGAAGTTATAACATATGCCATTTAATAGTAATTATTAAAATTATTCCTAGAAAATACTTGGATTGAATTAAATATCAGTCACTAAGAATTCTGTAACATACGTAAGTACTTTTTTCTCTGCAGTCAACCTTTACTAGTTTGGGACTAAGTCCAGTAACAGTCTTACTTCAGGTCCCAGTCTATTTAGATGATATTTAGAATTTAAGCAACGATGCCCCAAACTCCCTTCCAAAACCTTACTTCTCACTTACTGCCTAAAACTTCGCACCACCTAACTCATCGGGCATCTCTTCTTCCAGGCACGTTTTGAAGAGCACACGGTCAGTCCTGACCCCTCCTGACCAGGAAGGAACTCCTCCGAAGGGTTTCTGGCCATGAACCTTGAGCGGACACAGGCGTTTCTCTGCAAGCACAACCAACACAAAAATCAGTAGGAAAAGGCTTTCAGCAATACCTCTGCTCAAAATGTATTACCGGTGAGGTTCAGGCACCTTTCTGCTCACCAGTGCTTTATTTGCTGGGTTTCTGAAAGGGAGCTGGCTCCTCTTCAGGCTCTAGACCTCCCTAAGAATACGGTGTCCTCTTTACTGTGTATAGCCAATGCGCTCAAAACAGTTTAAACCAGTATTTCACGGGTAGAAGTCAGCAGCTGATATTGCTGGCACACCCAGCAGCCTATACGTAATTAACCAGAACTATTTCAGTTATTTCACAGACAAAAAACCACCTGCCAAAATAAAAACCTGATCAGTCTCTGCACAGATGCTAAGAACTTAAATGAAATGAAAGCAAAAAATGTTACTCTTGAAGAGAGATACCCTCCTGCACATACTTGCCAGTACACCGGTGTTGTAGCTGCTTTGATGGTCGGCCCATTATTAGAGCCCATTATACTTCAGAGCATTACTGGTATCGAGAGAAGGATTAACAGCAAATTAAATCTTCTGAATACAGAAGTGAAGGATTCGTATACTAACACAATGATTTACACTGACAAAGTCATAGCCCAGAAAGTAAACCTCTCCATCTCACTGAAGGAGCACTGACGATACACCAACAGACTGGCCTAATCATGGTGTTTATTTGGCTCATTTCCACCGTAATTTAAATATGTCCAAAAAGCTACGTTAAAATAGGTTGAACATCTGAAATTAACAATTACTGTACCTACTTAGATAATGAAGATGCATAGTGTACAGCTGAAACTCATTAATAACAACTTCCTAATGGTGCACTGGATTAAGGTTTCGATAGTATTTTTCTCGCTCACTAGACATGAAAACAATTATTAACAGGGACAGAAAATTATTCTGCTCCATACCACAGAGGTATACCCATTAATATTCTCCTAATGAGAGCTGAGCCCAAAAAAAAAAAAAAGATGCAATTTAGTCCTATATAATACTGCAATGGACAGTGGTGCCATTACTCAAATCTTAAACATCTAAATGCAATGAAGACACAGAAAGAGAAAATAACAAACCCAAAGTTCTTTAGCATTGTATTTTAATTGAATTTGAAGACCTTGACATTTTTGTATCTTCAGTGGAAACACATTTTCATACGTAGCATGGTCTTGTGAAATACACAGTACATAAACTGTCTTTATTTAATCCTGATCAGTTCCACAGGGCTAAATTGTATATTGCTCCAATATAATCTATAAACGCATAACTGTTCAAAGTATTTCTGTTCCATTGATGTCCTCTTCCATTAATTTTCTCCCTTCAGAATAGGCAACAATTCACCACTTTCCTTTAGTTCCTGTAAAGAAATAGAGAGCGCCATTATTCTCTATGCACACTTTGTGATCACGCTACCGAGATCTCAGCCGGCGCGGTTCACGGGGAAGGAAATCAATCCACTGGCTGTTAAGGGAATGCACGGGATGACCCACTAGAGGTCCCTCTTGACCAAGACACTGAAGTTCAAAACGTATTTCAATTCTATTTTGTGTCTATTTAGTTAGAGAGGGAACTTATTCAGTGAAAAGATAACCAATTTTTTGAAGGTGCATCATCAACTTTACCAGGTAAATCCCCTGGTATATCTCCTTCCAGGTGTAATTCAAAATTTTGTGTACGCCTGAAATATATCTTACAACATCCCAAATGCCTCCCATAAAACAAAAAAAATGACTGTCTGTAGGTAGACCTTGTTAGTATCACACAACATAAAAACACAAGATGGTAAGAGATTTGTAAGAGTTCTAAATAAGAGGTGCTTGCTCCTATTATCTTGATGATCTAAATCCAAATTATAAAGCCGTTAACTTACTAAAGAGACGGATAAGACCAGAAATGGTTTTAAAACAACATGTTGCGGAGTATATATTCTTTTCCCCCATCTCAAGAGAAACAACTGTCTCGATCTTATTCCGTATCATGCTGTATTACAGAATGCACTTTAAAATACTGACAACATTCATCTACCCATAAAGTTAGTCAGTGTGAACTGAATACAGTCCAACAGTGCAAACGGACATATTTAAATACCGGTGAGAGAATTCTTTTGCAGCATCTCCGCCATGCCTAAGACTATACTTACTGATCACTGAAATAACCCACACGCTTGTTAAATAAATAAAATTAAAGTAATCTATATAATTTAAGTAATACCAGTATTTTTAGAACTAAATGAGATTTATTGATTGTATCTTCCCAGGAGTTCCAACGTCTGAGGAATTGGCTATAAAACATTCAGACAAGAATGGGCTCGAGAGTATTTGGGGTTTAGAACACTGTGCCTGCTCTGTTACAAAAATCAAAAACCGCAGTAACAGATGCAGATCTATTTTTGTTGCTTCAGGGTCTGTTCAAACAACTACAATAAACCTTCCTTTCTTCCAGGAATGAGACTGTTCGCCAGGAAAAAATGTCTCGCCCACCTTATTTGAGAAAAGCAATGTCAGAAGTAAAACCAGGAAGAGAAACCTGTAAAAATGCACCCATGGGGTAAAAATGGTCTTTACAGTAACAGTAACTGACTGCTGTCAAGAAAATACATTTCGCTGCTAAATCTTGGCGTATGAGAATGGTAGAGATTTAGAGCTCCTTTCAACTGTATGTTGAGCTAATACAAGTCACAGTAAAAGTAACCAAGTCATTCGGTTTCAAGATCTGGGGCCACTACACGGGAATTTCTGTATGTTACGGGTAGAAAACATTCCTCCAGTTTTAAACAAACGGACAATTTACATGTCAAACAAGATTCTCCCATTCCTACCTTAATAATATCCAGCCCTCCAACAAGTTCACCTTTCACATATAATTGAGGATACGTCGGCCAGTTTGAATAGGTTTTTAATCCTTGCCGCACCTACAAAAAATAATCTGAAATGTAAACTTCAACGTCAGTGAAAGCAACAATGAAATCGCTAATGATGGAAAAACTTAATTACCTCTTCATCTTCCAGTATGTCAAATGTTTCATAATCAACACTAGAAAAAACAACAACAAAGTCATCTACTGTGGAGCTTTGCAATGCAAGACCCTCAAAAATTCAAAATGGCTATGTTTACTGCAATGTAAAAAATGTCTAGTTTCGTGGGAAACACATGATGACGGCATAACGCGGTAAAAAAATCGAGCCGTGTAGCTTAGGCTCTAATTGGCAAAAATGTGTTCACAGTAATTCTGTTCACTATTAGTTTAAAAAAAGGAAAAAAAAAAAAGACAGACCCATATACTTTGGAGGTCTTTATTAAGGAATCAACCAGCTGCAGCTATTTCACCATCTCCACATACTACTTGTGGAAAAACACAAAAATTTACACACCCCTCTGTAAATTTGATTTCTGATCGATTCATGTACGAGTTTTGGTACGCAACTCCTAGTATTGCAAGAACCAGGACTCTTCAATAACCAGCAAGAATGTAGATTCCTGCAGCCGGACGTGGGTTAGTGGCAAGGAACAATGACTTGACTAACCGCTATTTATTTCCAAGTTGTATATTGATATACAGTTATCCATTATCTCAAAAAGCCCATTCTAACCTCTAGTAATCAAGAGAACTGCTTAACCTCTAAGTAGCACTACAAAGGAAACAGGAGTTTATTCAAAGGCAGAGGCTACTAATCTCTCTCGCTACGGAAAGAACTGCTTTGAAGAGGCAAACTGAGGCTAGGTAACATGAGAGGCTCCAAGATTAAGGAAACAGATCAAGAGGGACCTCTCTAAGAAGAGTTGCTTATCTGAGTGGAAGGGTTCCTTTCATGTCAACAATCACAGCAATATCAGAACAAGTTCACTGTTGCAATAGACTCCTCAATCCAAGCAAGACAAGCACGACATAGCAGCGCTAAAGCAGCGCGATATCTGACACACCACATTTGACTTGGTATCAAATGAGCGTAGGTAGTGATTTACACCATGGGCTTTTAAAAAAAGATAGTTTAAAATACCCTTAAACAAAGAAAATTGTATTTGGGGAAGGATTCTACCAATATTTTCCAAACTCTTTATTTATCAAATGCAGTTTTTAAAACAGAACTGGCTTCCCAAATTAAATTAAAAGAAAAAGAAAAAAACACTTACGTACCCAGTATTATTTAAGATTTCTATAATCTGCTTGCTGAATCCACATCTTGCCACCTAGAATGCAAAACACACGTGTTAAAACATCCATCTACTATATTTAATCCACAAAATTCCAGGTCCTCAAGCTACACTAAAGCTATTACCAATTTATTGCTAGTGATGACCTCACTGGAAAAGCAATACTGCTAATCTCCTTTTAATTCTTCGATCTTTAAACAGTACTGAATGTCTCTTTCTTCACATACTCTGCTGAAATAAATCACAGAATCACCGAATCCCAGACTGGTGGGGGTCAGAAGGGCCCTCTGGAGCTCCCCCATCCCACCCCCCGCCAGAGCAGGGGCACCTCCAGCAGTGGCACAGGACGGCGTCCAGGCGGGTTTGGGATG